CTTGTAGCCATTTTTATATAGCCTAAATTCAATACTTTCCTAATGATGGCTATCTTTGAAATCCACTACTTAATACAAATGGGAATGTGATTTCCAGCAAGATCACTCTTTCATAATTATTTCGTGTTGCTAGCTTAGAAATACTCAAATGTCAGTTATGAACATGTTGAAAAGAACTTCTGTGCTCAACTTTGAATCCAATATCGCTCGATAGAGGGCAGGAATGGGATTCTTTTTGCCTAGCTTCTGCTTGCTCTCATCATTTAAGGTTAAGCTCTTGGCTTTCAAGTAAGCCATAGCTCTGAGAACCTCAAACATAAGCCATTAGATGATAATGAACTTTGCAAGATCTTCGGTGCACATCCAAAGTGTACGAATTTTAGCAAACATACTTTAATAGTGCAGAATTTTGAACCCTTGACCGAAAACTTATATTCGCATGGCAATCAATTATTTTCTTTGAGCGCATCGTCCACCCAAAATTTCGACGTCCATGTTTTTGCCATTCCAAGGCTTTCTCACACCCCTGATTCCGAATATAAAGTCAGAAATCCGCGAAAACCACGAAAACCCCAGTTTTCAGAACCCGCGGGGCGATTTCTTCGGAAATACTATTGGGTGGGCGCGCACGAATGAGAGGAACGAACGTCACGCGCACTCAAAGGGGAGGAGCCAACGTGGCGAATCTGTCATCCAAGCGATTTTCGAAGCAATTTTCTCGCTTCGGAAGCAACTTTTTGCCAGCGCGAGTTGGATAAGTATACAGTTAAGAGCCTCAGTACTGTTAGGCATCAAAATCTCATCGACCTTATTTTGGGTGGGCGGTGCCTTTAACTTTGAGTCATTCCTGGTTTTCGTCCACATCAGATTCAGTACCCATAAATCACCATGAAGGAATACATCTTTATTTCATGACTGCAAATAAGATTTGATTTGTGAAATCATAACTCTAAACTAATCAAGAAAAATCAACATCGTTATTAGAAATACATTCACTAAGAACCCAATGTGCACCAAAAATTATTTTACATAATGCAAATTTTTATCTAATAAGTTGATAAGTTTTCTTAATTAAACTTTCTACCATTTTTTATATCAAATCTTCCACAAAATATGTTGACCGAAAGTAATTTTTTGAATCGTAACTAGCTTACTTACTCTTCTGCTAAACAATTCTTTCCTATTTAAAATTAAGTCTTTTGGCAAGGTAGTCAACCACCAATTTTTGAAGCAAACTGGAAACTCCAATGCTTTATTGGTCAAAGCAAGTCATTTGAATTCAAAAAAACTAATTACCTACTTAACTTTTCGCTTAATGTGCTTGTCAGTTCAGTAAACAGTTCTTCAGTCATTCCCACTAAGGCTTTAGTGAATCTGGCTCAGCAGATATTCCTTGTAGCCACTTGAATACAATATATTATAGCTCATAGTAAGTTCTTGATGACGGAGCTGTTATTGATATCCTTAATCCAAATAGGAAACTCTTATGCTATTGAAACATTTTTCAGTAATTTCATGCTGCCAAACTCAGAATACTCGAAAAGTGAGTTATCAAAAGTTTAAAAACTTTGAGCTTTCCGCTGAATCTATTAATGTGCGATAGAGGGCTGGAATGGGAGACTTTTGCCCAGCTTCTGCTTGTTTCCCTAACTGAACCTTAAGCTTTTTGCCTCCAGGTAAGCTATAGCTCGGAGAACCTCATATGAATCATTAGGTTGAAGGCAGCACCTGCTCAGGTATTTGCCTTCCATGTTTTCGTCATTTCGGACTTTCCGTGGTCCCGATTGCAGTATGAAGCTCAAAATGTGCAAAATCCTCAAAAAACAATTTTTGGGAACCCATAACCTGAGGTACAGACGACTTCCGGTACCTGGGTGGGCGGAGTTTGATAGAGTGGACGTGGCTTGATAGCGCTTTTGTGGGTTCCAGGTCCATTATCTCCATTCAGAGGCAACATTGGAGGAGGACCGGAGCAATTGTAGCAACGCTACTACAATGCTGTTGGATGCACAGTGCTTTTTGTTGCCATCTGAGTCCCAAATTCATCTGAATCCGACTTTGAAACTTGTTAAACAAATTCTCATTTGACTTTATGTGTTTTTGATTGGAATATTCCTTTTCAGAAAGTACAGTTGGATTGTGCTATCAGTGTACATCCCCAAATCGCAAAGCTGTGCTATTTTGCCGCAAAAGCTTTAGGATGTGGGGGTGTTGAATACAATTTTTTGATTGATCCTCAAATCATATGATTTCTTTTTGTGATTGAGAAGAATTTCAAAACATAATTGCGTGCACCCTGCAGTATACTGCAGTAAGCTGCATGATCAATGGTCAGAACTTGGATCTGCAGGTCCAAACAGCTACATATCATGGCACAAACTTGAAAATCTCAATATATATTCATTATCTGCTAACGAGGGAAGGATACTTGGTGACCGTGGCCTTTTGCAATGAGATGTATACCAGTAGGTGCGTCTTGGAACGCTGATTCTAAATCTATGTTCATTATTTGCTGTGCGACTCCCCGAGTTATGAATTTTTCCATATTGATTTTGCGAGATTTAGGCAGTCAAAATCGTCAGTATCCAGGCTTTTTAGACTCTGATATATTGGTGACAGTTTTCCTGAACTTAGCGTGAAGCTCTACTTTATCTCTACGCTCTTTTGTAGTACGTAAGCGTACATTCTAACGATATTGGTAAAGCCTGCATCAAAAACAGTGCAAATTTTGGTGGCAAGAAATGTTCATAACTTCTTTTGGAAGAGCGCACAGTAGATAACGAAAACAGATTTGGAATCAGCGCTTTAAGATGCATTTAAAGGTGCACGTTTCATTTCAAAAGCCCACTGTCACCAAGTATCCTTTCCTTGTAAGCACTGTCTAAATGGAGTTATGAGCTTCTAAATATGAGAATTTTAGTCTCGAACCAGATTTGTTGAAAGGCAGCTCAAGGGCGCTTGATTACAGTGATTGGGAATACAACTGAAAAGAGGAGCATCCACCAGAAACCTAAAGTGTTTTTGAAGCGAAGGCAGCTTCCGGGCAGAATCTCGGCTTTTACTTCTCTGCCTTATCCGGGCCTTCATAGCGTTGATTCCAAATATGGCACTCAAAGTGTGTGGATTACTCCCCCCCCCCCCCCCATTTTGAGACAATTTTATGAGAACTGTTCACAAGTGCTCCTAATGATATTCTTGTCGCAAGCAAGCATTAGCACTTAGACACTATGTGTTCGATCGTGTTTGCCACACGTCAAGGCGTGGCGAGAATTCGTTCAAGGGGGGTTGCGCGAGGGAGTGGGAGTGGTCGTCGAGGCTCGGCGCGTTTTCTGTGCCGATTGTGAGAATCGAATTTGCGTGATAGTTAGATCAAGGTCTAAGTACTCGGTTATGATAGTATCCGAAAATGTACCCAGATCTGCCTGGACGCTGCCTGTAGAAACTCCTGCTCAACAATTTTTATCATCAGGCATTTATTGCAATAAAGGAAACAGCATAAAGTCATGACTCGAGTCACCCGATTGCGATTCTGTTCTCTTTACGACTGAGCTTGTGCTGGTCGCGTCGGGGACGCTTTCGAGGCGCGTTCGCGATACTGGGCCTCCGGAGTTTCGCCTTTACGAAAGAGCTTCCACCTGACCGAAAGTGGGAAGCGAGACCTTACAGTCATCAAATGGCTGCTCTGGCATTCTGCTGCCGAAGCATGTCCAGAGGACATGGATCACAGTAGACTTGCTTTACGAACTCTCGGCAACACTCCGGCGCGCTCTCAGAAAAGAAAAATTTTTTTTAGCAATCAGTTCAGTGACTCACAAGGGAACGATCCCAACTTAAGGTGGCGAATTGGAATAAACCGCATACCATTAGATGAGTCTTGATGAGGTGATTCCAAATCTACCTTCCATATCTGCGACAACTTTATCTCGAAGAAGTTATGAAAGGTTAAAAATGTGAAGTAACGGGGGTTTTGATGCGTAATTTGCTTTAAAATCCAACTTGGAAATTCACGACTAGCATCATATTGAGTGTACTGATTTCACGGAATGCTCACATTCAAAAGAAACGCAAATAAATGTTTTTTGACAGCTAAATGGCAACTAAAGTTCTTTGGTAAAAGCTATGAGCAATGAAAAGTCCAAATTTGGCAAATATACAGCGCAATACCTCGAAAATTAATTGTTCAAAAACACTTATTTGTGTTTCTTTAGAGTGTGAGTATTTTTTGAAATCAGTACACTCAAGATCATGCTAGTCATACACTCCCAAGTTGGACTTTGAAGCGAATTATGCACTAAAACCCCCGTTACTTCGCATTTTTAACCTTTCATAACTTCTTCCAGATAACGTTGTCGCAGATATGGAAGGTGGATTTGCAAACAGCTCATCAAGACGCATCTAATGATATGCGGTTCATTCCAATTCGCCACCTTAAGTTGGGATCGTTCCCTTGTCAGATCACAATGAATAATATACAAAAATAACATGAAAATCTTCCTATGATTGAAGATACCAAAAACAATCTTCCAAGCGATACAATGCGCTTAAGATATTACCACGCTCTTCCAAGTGAGTGACATAAATTAGCAAGTTCTGCTATTTGAACACAGTTAAAAGACAGTATTAAGCTCAAAATACGTCTCAAGTACATAAATCATTCACAAGCTGTTCAATCAAATAAGGAGGATGTGCATGTTTGGTTATGTCTGGTGGAGCGGCGGGAGTCGAAAGAGCATTCCTAAAGTGCAAAATTCGAAAATTGCGAGCTGCGACTGTTTCGATTTTCGACTTATTGCGGGAACATGAACGGGCACAAGGCTGACACGTGGTGCTACACGTGCCGGTTGTGCTGCTTGCAGTAAAAGCAAGGTATTAGTTGGTATGCTGGGTCGGGTAGGCTCAAGTGCTGCTTGAAACAGCGGAAGCAAAAACGAGATCTCGCATGCGCTCCCCTGTCCGATAACGTAGCGTAAACGTCGCATTCGGTTGCATACTGGTGGGTGTTAGAGCCGCAAAGGAATGTGCAGCGTACTTTTTCTTAAAGCGGGCGCCGCTGGTGTGGTTGATGGAGTACGAGGTTGCGGTGGTGGCGAACTTCTTCTTCGGCTCGTCGTAGGCTCATCGTTGTCGATGGCCAAAAGCTGCTTAAGTTGAAATTCGACATTCTCCATCTCTTGTCTCGCTTGTCTGGCGATATCCTGAAATACATGATTTTCCTACTCGCTTACAAGTCCACTAATCGATCGTTTCTTTTACGTTTTTTCCTAGCGATACGATTATTTCTGATGATCCACCCATTCTTGAAAATTACCAAACTTATGGGCCCCATATTCTAATTACAACTCACTTCTTTTCTTTCAATTTCCTCTCGAATTCTCTGCAATTCTTCTATTAATTGCGCGACGAGGTTTCGATCCGTTGTGGCGCTTGACGTCGAAAAGACCGCGTTCCGCGTGGGCTCTCTTCATCCTTCGGCTGTTCGTGATTGGTTCTGGGCTTCACTTCCATATTTTTTTGCGATTCCGTGTCTGAATTCGATTCGCTATCATTGTGCTCTGGCAGCATACTAAAAAAGTTTGTATTAACAAACTGCCAATTCGATTTAAGCGTATTGCTATTTATTATGATCGACTAAGATGGTAAAGGTCGCTGCTATTGCGATTGCGAAGCAAGTTCCCATCAACGCTGCATACCAAAGATATTGCTTAAGGACATGCCATAGGTGAAAAATATCTGGGAAAGCAAAATCGAATTATTATTAGACAAAGACTCGATTTTAAAGTTCTCGACAATTTCAAAACATTCGAAAGAGCATTCGTAAATTTAAGTATTCCTGATATCTCGAAAATGACGTTGCGTTTCGCAGTGCGCTCGACAAATTGCGTTTATCTGGGCCTTGTTAAAGGAAAACCGCACAATGGTATTTTTTTCGTTCGCGTGAACAGGGTATCATAAATGCAGTGCTTTCGCATTCAATTTCTGCTACTGCTACTGCGATACCCGAACGGCAAGTGAATCGAGAAGAAACGCCTCGAAGACAAGCATAACATCCTACAAGATGTGACGCGTAGACAGAACAGGCGAAATTGTCTACTATATGCCGAAAAGTATTGCTAGAGATGTTCAGTTGCATTGACAGCTCGAGAGAAGCGAGTTCGGCTACGACTTTAGGAATATAAGCGGAAGATGAATTGATTACGAAGTGTGGGACAAAGGTAACAAAAATTGTATATTTATAAAAAATTATTTCGGCACATCATTGCGATAACAATCAACATCATTCTCAGCAGGCGTACATGCGCAAGTATTGCTCACTGTGCAATTCGAAGCTTGCGAGATTTGAACTTGTGCACTCGTACGAGAACTTCTGATTACGTGGTAACATGGCTACATGTTCATTTTTGCGAATGAATTGCGAGTTTAAAATGGAGACAGGAGGAGTTGCTATATTAGTTATTGATAAAAGAGTCCTGAAGATTCTTCTACGTACGTTAGGAAAAAGTGCGAGTCGATACTGATGTTATTTCCTTTTGATCGCATATCTTACGAAAGATCAATGATTTCTTTCTATGTGGGACATTCAAAATCTTGTAGGTGATGTTACTTACAATTTCCTTACAAATTCGATAAAACAAACACCCGGATGAAGGGTATCCGCAATCCACCCCCAAAATCCGCACGATTCCGAATAAAACGTAATTCCAGGGTACTGGTTTGCATACAAAAGTTCTTCCAGTAAGGATCAGAGGTGCGATAGGGGGAGCCAAGTCTCCCCCTACCTTCACTTTTGAGCTGGTACGGGGTGACCACCTTCACTTTTGGAATAAAAAATTTTTCGCTGGACGACAAAGAAGGAAAATAAGCAAAACAAACGCAAAAAAGATTATTGAAAGCATATATTTATGTATACGGCGGCATATATCTTTAAAATAAAGGTTTTTAGTAAATGGTGTATTTGGAAGTAAAGCTTAGCAAAACTGTACGGATTTTATTAAGCAAATTATGTTATAACGTATAGCGAAGGAAGTAGGTCGATCCAGGCAGTAACGGCGGAGAACCAGAATTTTGAATATTTAAATAGTGAAAAATCATGCGAAATTTCCACTGTTATAAATCTGTTGTTTGAAGATGTCAGCAGTTGCGACTTCATAGGTTTTGAAGAGTAGATGTTGCTCTATCAGCTAGTGAAGGATTCGGGTCGATTTAAGAGATAGTCGTTGAAAACCAGAGTTCTAAAACTTTACGCCATTTTTGCGTGTTTTTTGACTGTTGAGAGTTAAACTCTTATAAATCTTGAATGTGGAAGTGTATGATGTTGCGACTTCATAGGTTTTATAGAGTAAGGTTTGCCTTATCAGAATGTGTCTTGTCCGTTCCGATCCATTGAAACACCTCCGAGATCCAGAGTCATGAAAAAGCAGGTAAAAAAGAGCTTTTTGAACTTCAACAGCTCATAACTTCTTCAGAACTGCATGAATCATGTTGCGACTTCATAGGTTAGATTCCTCTCATCAAGGGCTTTCAGATGATATATAATATGTGGGGGTTTAGAGCCTCCTGCGAATTATGACCGGGGGGGGGAGACTTTTTAGGCCAAAGTCTCCCCCTCGCCCATTTTAATGTATTGGCTGGAGGCTGCCGGGGGAGACTTTGGCCTAAAAAGTCTCCCCCCCCCCCCCCGGGCATATGCCGTAAGAGGCGCGAAACCCCCACATATTATATATCATCTGAAAGCTCTTGACGAGAAGAATCTAACCTATGAAGTCGCAACATGATTCGTGCAATCCTGAAGAAGTTATGAGCTGTTGAAGTTCAAAAAGCTCTTTTTTACCTGTTTTTTCATGACTCTGGATCTCGGAGGCAGGGCTCAGCACAGCTGGCACCGGGTCAAGCTGGATATCGTTTTTAGGGCGGAAAGCAAAGGTGATATCGTTTCTACAGGGGTCGAGGCGGAGAACTGCCGCAAAAATGCCGTCGGCATGCCACCGGCATGCCATTTGCAAGCTGTCCATCAACAAACAAAGGCGTTGTTTTCAGCCAAAACGCAATAGTATGACACCAAATTTGGTGTGTGCATGCGCGTTGGTGGACCGGAACTACGGGCCAAAAATTTATGAAAACTTATGTGAATGAAAGCTGTGCCGAACTTTTTTCTGAATTAGCTGGCACCGTGCCAGCTGGGTGCCAGCTGAGCTGGCACCGACACTTTGCTCACATAAGTTTTCATACTTTTTTACATAAAATGTATCTACACTGTAAAAGATTACATACGGAGAAGAAACAGTTTCATAATGTTCTCTTTTCAGCGTTTTATAGCAATTTGAAAACCACTCGGTCCGCTCCGCAGTCGAAAAATCGGTTTTTTCTGCTTTTCAAGATGTGTTTCTACCACTTAAAAAGCTCAGAAAGGTGTGAAAATTTCTTTCATGAAATCAGAAATGCATGAAAGCACTACTACATTTTTTACATAATATAAAAATGATGGCGGGTTTTCAAAACAGGTCAAAAGGGACTTCGTACGAAATTTTCAATGTTAAACGGGACTTCGTTTTGAAATTTCCCTGGTGCCAGCTCGTGCCGAGCCCTGCTCGGAGGTGTTTCAATGGATCGGAACGGACAAGACATATTCTAATAAGGCAAACCTTACTCTATAAAACCTATGAAGTCGCAACATCATACACTTCCACATTCAAGATTTATAAGAGTTTAACTCTCAACAGTCAAAAAACACGCAATGGCGTAAAGTTTTAGAGCTCTGGTTTTCAACGACTATCTCTTAAATCGACCAGATTCATTCACTAGCTGATAGAGCAACATTTACTCTTTAAAACCTATGAAGTCGCAACTGCTGACATCTTCAAACAACAGATTTATAACAGTGGAAATTTTGCATGATTTTTCACTATTTATTTATTCGAAATTCTGATTCTCGGCCGTTACTGCCTGGATCGATCTACTTTCTTCGCTGTACGTTATAACAAAATTTGCTTAATAAAATCCGTACAGTCCAACAAACTTCTACTTCCAAATACACCATTTACTAAACACGTCTATTTTAAATTTTTATAAATAAAATTTATAGATATTTTTAATATTCATCGTATCTGTGGCCCTAAAGAGGGCCGTTGGGTCGACGTTAGACCTAGAAAGATAGCTCCGTTCGTCCGTTCTATCCTCCCCCCGCACCTCCCCCCCCCCCGTCGACGTTTTTGGGAGGTGAGTGTCCGACACTACCACCTTCACTTTTGGCCGGCCAGTGGTAGCTGAAACCACCTTCACTTTTGGGGGACCCGGCTCCCCCTATCGCACCTCTGGTAAGGATGCTTCGTTCACGTTTGAACATTTTTGACCTACGCAGCTGCATATGTGGGCATCTTTTCTTGGATTGAACTATGGTACGAGTGTCCTGGGTATAAAAAAGAATCATAGGTTCACAAGATAAAAGTATGCGATCAAGTTGAAGTTTGATTTGTTCTTTGACCGAACCTTGCAAAATTAATGCGATGCAAGCTTCGCGAATAAAGGTTTGATTTGAGAAGTTGTGTTTGCTTAGTAAAACAGTTGCTCAAATTTGTGTTACATTGAATAGTTGGTGCGATTATAGGAAATGAAATTTGACACGAAGAAGTACGATGATTAAGTATTACAAAACAAATGGTCACAATGCTTACGAGAGAAGATTTCTTGAATCTTTTACGAGAATTCGAGATAACGAGTAGAGGCTGATCTGACTCCCTTGTGCTGCCGCGCAGAATCAAGCAAAGAGAAAGAATGCTTCTGCGAAAAAAATCTCGCGATGCGCTTACAAAAGCATACGGTGGCGATCGTAGATATTAAGCATAAATGAAGAATTACTACAATCATTGCGATTGCTGCTCGAGGCCAGCAGCTAGGGTTGTTGATTAGTACGGAGCAAAGGTAGCAGTCGATCATTTCGTAAAATGGACTTGGAGGACACGTTAAGGAAAAATTTTTGTTCGAAAGTCATGTTTCATCTTTACGCGTACCTCGTGCTCATGCAGGCAAAAGCTTGCCGGCAGCATTATTGTTGTTTCGTCTTGCAAAACTCGTGTTTCGATGCAATGACTGATAGCGCAAGCTTGCAAATCTGAGCCCGGCAAAACACTCTTTACAGAAATTTCTCCCTGTATGCAATTAACTTGCATATTTTGTGGTGTTTGTTATTCCACTCACTGCATAAAACTTTCCAGCGCCCAGTATGCAAATCATGAAGAAAGCCAAGGACTTGCTAAAGGGAATTATTTTTGAAGTATGGGAAACAGGAGAAAACCGTGGAC